TGTCTGTAACGCAACAGAAAGAGCGCGATAGCGTATAAGTGAATGCGAGAAAGTGAGTGGGAGAGAGACAAAGAAGCTCTCTTTGTGATTGCGACGAACGTAAAGCGAGTTGCGTTGATAACGGCAGCGGCGTTAGCGGCGACGCAGTTGTCAGCGCTCAATATAGGTTAGAAATAGAAAACGACTGGCAGAGCAGAGCAGCACAGAGCAGAGCGCCTGCGCTGCTATGAGTCATGAACTGATTGGTTGGTTGTCTACCCAGAAATGTAGAAATGACCAAAAGACGTCACGCTGCTATGTGGTTGTTGCTGTTATGCGATAAGGATGTGGAACACGTCATTCCCATGACCGTTTCAAAAGAGTTCGCTGTACAGGGCTGTGCACGTGTGTGTGTGTGTGCAAGGGAGGGCCACACCTGTTGCCGAAACCCTACAAGAAAAAACTACAATAAAAGCTGCGACGCAGTAAAAGCTGCGAAAACAACAACAACAACGTGAAGAAATCACGCGACGATCATAAAAGCAATACGTGCTAATGTAAACAAAAAAATCTTAAGATGAACGGTCAAAGGAACGAAATAGGAACGAACAACTGCATTTTGAAACGAAATAAAAACGAAACAGCATTGAAAGAAAAGCTGAAAGAACAACAACAACAACATTAAGGAGAACGGCTGAAGCTCCAACGCTGCCAAAAAAGGGAAAAAACCAAATAAACAAACCTACGCGTGCAGCGTGGAATGCGAATAGCTTCCGCAAGCTGACCACGACAAGAACTGAACTGACAAATGGCGATAGTGAGTGAGAGATGGAGAGCAACAGCAAACGGCGAAATGGGGCCAAGGCAAACGACACACAGCAAGTAAAACGACCTCTTCGCGCGCGCGCGTTTTAAAACGCCCGCGGCGGCAATAGCACTGCGACTTCTGTTCTTTTGCCGCCAATTATTGCGTGTTTTGTCTTTTGTTTTGGTTCTGCAAATTCGCCAATTTTATATGCATGTATTTGTGTGTCTGTGTTTTGCAGTAAAAGGAAAAAGCTTTTGCTTTCCTCACTTTGATCGCGTCATCGCAGGCGATTTTTATCGCACGCGTTTGCGCTGAGTTCAGTGTACCCGTTACCTTTTTTTGCAGCGCATGCGTGTGTGTGTGTGTGCATATCATTAACTCAAATACATTTAAGCAACAACAACAGCAACAACAACAAACAAAACTCGTACATCAAAAATGCGTTTAAATCTCGCAATGTCAATGGAAATAAATGCATTATAATTTGTGAACCGCGACCGCTCCCTTTGCCAAAAAGAAAAAACATAAAAAAGGCAAAAAAGCGAGAAAAAAAGCTTCACTGAGCAAGAACGGCGAAAACGATTTGTTGTCGCCGACGCTCTCTTCTTCCTCACTGCTTGCTGCTCCATTAATAAAGCGAAATGCTGTATCCGCCTTTGTTGTTGTTGTTGTTCTTTGCACGCATTATAAAAGTGTCATTAACATGTCAACGGGCTGCAAAGTGTTTCTGTTTTAGGTGTGGGAAGGGAGGGAGGGAGATATGCTCTACTAATGCGATAGCGATAAATATGTGCAAACGAATTATTTGTGATAACTGATGCTATGCATTTATTATTTATTTATTTATTTAATGTAAACTTAAGTCAGTCGACACGAAATACGAAAAAATATAAAAAGTACAAAATAGACTAAGCTAAGATGTTTATAAGAATACAATTGTTTTGATTCTTTCGTTATAAATTAAATTGAATTGGTATAAAATGTTTTTCAAAATAACTGAATTTTACTGTATGAAAAATGCGCAGAAACTGTCCGATTTATAGAAGTATTTCCGATTCGTGGGAGCTGCTGGTGTTATTGAAGCGCATGCGCAGCAAACAGCAACGGCCAAAATGTAGAGGCCAGCCGAAATTAAAAAAAATAAATAAATAAAAACAAAAAGCTGAGCAGCGGAGGCGTCAGCAGCGACGCGACGCAACGCAAAAGTCAATGATCGCCTCGCCGCCGCTGCTGCTGCTGTTGATGTTGTTGCTGTCATAATTAAACGCGACAAATACAAATACAATTTTGAAGAAAAGAAAAAAGAGCCGCTGTCGCCGCTGCCGACGTCGCCGCCAGTCCAGCGCCAGCCATAAACACAACAAAAATGAGACAAACAATAAATTCTTCAATTAACATTTGTCCAGGTAAAAAGCATGGCAAAAATTTGCGACAATGTGTGTATGTGTGCGTGTGTGGGAGAGCGTGCAAATAAGAGAGAGAGTGGAGAGAGAGCAAAGAGAGAGCGCACGCGAGAGAGCAAGCAAAGAGCGTATCAGTGTGCATATATGTATATGTGTGTGTAAGGATCATTTGCATTTGAGGCGGCGCAAGGTGTCGCTAAAAACTGATTAAAATGCATTTACACATACACATAAAAGCATACAGTATGTGTGTGTGTATGTGTAAAAAAGTTGCTCAAAAAAAAGTGGGCACGTCGTGCATATATTAGCATGTTCTTGTTGTTCTCTGCATAGATTCGGAAAAATGAAAAAAAAAACATTTCAGGGCTTTCGCACTTGTTGTTGTTGCTGCTGCTGTTCTACATACATATGTATTTTGTTTTTGTAGTTGGAGCCACAGCCGCGTGCCTGCCAGCGTTAGTCATAGCCAAGCGACGGCGTCGAAGTCGACGTCAGCTTTGACGTCTGCGTCGATCGGCATGCAGGCGGCGGCGGCGGCAGTTAGGCAAAGTAGCCAAGAAGACGACAACGCGCTGTGAGTGATCTATGAGCCAGCAACGTGAACGGAACGAAACGAAACGAAACGGAACAGAACGTACCGTACCAGCAAACTGTAAAAGGGTCTCCCCCCAATACCACCCTATGAATTTACAAATTGGCGCCTCGAAAAAAGGTGTTTGCAACATTTTGTGCTGGACATTGACGCGAGCGACCACCAAACGCGATTAGTCACAACAACAAGAACAACAAGCAGCGAAATAAAAAGCGACTTGTGTCGTTGTTGTTGTTTTTTGGCTTGTGCATTTTTTTGACAATTTTTTTGCGGTCGCGTTTTAAGCCTTAACAGCGCAACAACAGAGCAGTTTGAGCCCAGAACCCGGCCAGAGCAGAGCAGAGCAGACCGCCGTCAGTCAGACAAAAGCCCAGGCAACGAAACGAAACGAAGCGAATTGAAACGATCGCCGATCGCCGAAGCCGAAACGAAGCCGAAACCCAAACCAAAAACACGAACGTTCGTCGCGACGCGTCGCTTGTCTCTGTGTCCGTGTCCGTGTCTCGTTCACTGTGCAAGTGCATGTGTTTGTGTTTTGCCTGCTGAGCGCAGGTTTATCAAAATTCGATTTTCATTTTATGCTTTAATACAATTTGTGCCTTGCTGCCGTGTGGAAGTGGCAGGAGACGCCTGAGACGCAAAAACACAAAAGTACAAAATCTAAGTCAGAAAACAAGCAAAAAAATATACAAAACGAGTGCGGCATAAAAATAAAAAGTGGAAACTTATTAAAAATAATAAACACACTGCGTCTGCTCTGTGCACTTGTGTTTGTGTGTGTGTGTGTGTTTATAGCAAAGAATCACGTAATTTAATCCGTGCGCGCAGTGAAGGAACCGTACAAAAAACAAATGAAAACACAAGCGTAGCAATACTCCAACACAACTCCTTCCCCCTCCCAACCACACCTCCCACTCACCGTTAGTTGCAGTTGGCTGTCACTTGTTTGTTAGGTGTTTGTTTACGCGCCGTTTACCGCTATTCGCTTATGTTACCGTTACCACTTGACCGACACGTGTGCGCGTGGGCGTGGGGCGGGGCATTTGCTGTCTACATGCAAATGAAAAAAAAAAAATTGAATTAGCAAGAACAAAAAGCATGAAACATATAAAAATGAAATTAAAAAATGTGATTGAATTGATTTACATACATTGCGCGAGCAAATAAATACACATACAAACACACACAAATACACGCAAACACTCACACACAGTCTTCTGTTGTGTAGTGTGTAACAATAAGCGAGTCAAGTGAAGTTGAGTCATCGCCATCTCAAAATATTTTTGCTTTTTCTCTCCGCCGGCGCATTGCACAATATACAAATAATTATTAATCGTATTAACTAAGAAATTTGAGTGTATTTCGTATTTGCCAAACTGAGAAAATATTCTAAAAGAGTGCAATATCATAATGAGTTATAATTATCATTCTAAATAAATAAAAATACATTAAATTGATCAGTGTTCATTTTAAGTAAATTTAAAAACGACACCTTTGAAAAGAAAATATTTAAAAAAAAATATAATTATCTTAACAAAAAAGAAAGATTTGCCAATTAAAATATTTCAAAGGCTTACGCAATATATTTGTGCAACAAAAAAAACTAAATAAATACAACTCTTAAGAGAAAATCAAAGCAAGCTAAAATAAATAATAAATAAAGTGGATTGAAGATTTCAGATTACAAGAAAAAAAACCAAACTCAATAAAATAAATAATAAATAAATTAGTTAGCAGATTTCAGATTAAAAACAAATTAACAAACTGAACTGACAGTTTTCTAACGGTGCAACACAAAAAAGAAAAGAAAATCAAGCTTAAATTAAAAAATTTAAAAACTGTATTTAAATAAATAAATAAAACTGCGAAAAGAAAAAATCACACAACCAGTGGAAACCCCTTTTCTGCATGATAAACTCGACCCAAAAATAAAACACAAAATAAACGAAACAAAAACAAATCTACACAATTTAAAAAGCAATAAAAATAAAACCTTGTGATAAATGCTGATTGTTTGTTGTGTTGTTGATGACTGCCTTTAAATCCATCAAAATGCAGCACAACATCAGCAGCAGTAGCAGCAACAGTAGCAACAGTAATCTGCCGCAGCAGCAGCAGCAGCAGCAACAACAACAAGCGCTGCTGCAGCTACAACAACAACAAATACGCTTGCAAATGCATCGACAACAAGAACAACAACAGCAGCAACAACAGCAACATCAACAACATTACAATAATTATGCGATATGGAACAATAACAGCAACATCGACGATATGTTGGAATATGTGTTACCGTTCAGGATTAAAGAGCAGCAACAGCAGCAATACAACACCAACAACAACAGCAGCCACAGCAACACTAACAACAACAGCAATATGACAACAGTCAATTATAATCAGCACTTGATGCAGCAGCAACAGCAGCCACAGCAGCAACAATACATGCAACAAGCTTACGTTTACACGCAACAACAGCAACAACAACAACAACAGCAGCAACAACCACTAACGCCAGCAACAACTTCTGCAGTTAGCAGCTGCTACTTTACAACAATGGAACAGCAGCAGCAGCAGCAACAACAACAACAATTGCAGCAAACACAGCAGCAATTCCTGGTGCCAACACAGCGCCACATGCAACAACAACAGCAGCAGCAGCCACAACAGGCGCTGCCTCAGAACGAGACACGCCTGCGCATAGGGAGCGCAACCATAAGGGGCACAACCATAAGAGAGCAGCAACAATGCAATGTGAGTAGAAGCATAGTTTCTTGACATTTATTATTTATTTATTTATTTATTTAGAAAGTACATGTTGAAAACTTTCTAGAAAACTACGGTTTGCATTTCTAAATTTCAGGCTGGGTTTTGTCTCCAATTTCGAACAAATATAACTGAGAGTCTGTTATTATTATTATTAAGCTTTAATATTTTTAGACTTCACTAAATATTTCTAAAAAAAAAATATTTTTTCTAATATTTCGAAACTCTTTCTGAAAACTAGAAAACTTTTTATTTTTAGGTTGATTTTCGTTTCGGGGCGATTTACTACATTTTAGATGGGGCAGAGTTTTTCTCGATTTTATTTTAAATAAATATTTTGTACACTTAGAGCAAAAATTGTTGCTGTATTTTTATTGAAATTGAATTTCAGCTTTGTTTTCTCGTTTGGATTAATCCAATTTGCTTTTACTGATGCACTTATTTGCTACCTTTAAAAAGACACTTTATATTATATACATTTTTCTTTCAAGTGTTTGCTACTTAATTTGTGGTAGAAGAAAGAATGTTTGATCATATATTGATTACGTTATCTTCTTGAGACCTTGTTTTTGAACTTTGTTTCAATGACATTGCTGTTTTCAATGTGTTATTAAGAATTTTTGTTGTAAACCAATGATTGTATATAAACTAATAAAACCGCTTTTTGAATTAGTTTTTATTTTTGTTTAATCTTTCTATCTGAATTTCTTCTTGCGTTTTGACTTCCACAAACCTTATATTTATAAATTTGCATATATTGTTGATCTTTTAATATTAAAATTTTTTATTTTTTTTTTGCTGTCTATTTAAATCTTTGCTTTCTTTATCTTTATTTGCTTAACATGTATTATTTATCAGTAAAAAAATGTATTTAAAATTATATACCTTTCAATCGATTGGTTTTTACTTATTTATAGTGAACTTTAGATGTCTACAATATGTCTTCAGTCTATATGAGTATTTAATCTTTAACGTGTTTAAATTAAACGTTCTTATTTGTCAAAATTTCTGCTGCACTCCCGCCCGCAAACTGGTTACATTTTGTTGTTGTTGACTGTCAACTGTTATTGACCATCAAAATGTTGGCAAAGCGATAATTTGATTTTGACTACTTGGTTTTGATTAACTTGATTTTGACTAATTTATTTTGATTGACTTGACTTTAGCTAATTTATTTCGATTAACTTGACTTTAAGTAAGTGATTTTGAATACAAATTTGTTGATTTTTTGCTAATTTATAGAAAATGCTGCGACAATTTATTGAGCAATTATTTCACTTCTGTCATCGTTAGAATTAAGTTCAAAAATGTTCTAACGTATTTTTCTTTGATGGAAATGCGTCTGAGAAAATCTATTTCGCCATCTCGCTTCAAATTGATGCGCTTTGTGTGATTTGTTCGTTTTCGTTTTGTGCTTTTCATTCGGCGTTTTATTTTGTGGGCGGCGCTTCAGAAAAACAGTAGGTGGAGTTCTCTCTCTATCTCTCTCTCGCTCTCTCTCTCTCTCTCTTTCTCTCTCTCTCTCTCGCTCTCTCTCTCTCTCTCTCTCTCTCTCTCTCTCGGTCGCTCTGCGTCGTTTGCATCTTGAAAAATGAATTGCGTCTTATGATTAGTTGAATGTGCTTCAATTGTTCAACAGTTCAAAATGGACGCATGGGGCGTATACGCAACTTTTTATTACGCATGCGCCACATTGCACCAAGCTAAGGGGGACATTTTTACTTTTTTTGACTTGATTATTATGTTTTTTGTTACTTTTTTTTTAAACTCTGTTTGCAGCAAATATTTGCAGTTTCGCTTGCGGCGTGGGAATGCCGCACCCCAAACAAAAAACAACAAAAATTTTTTTTTTGCGTAATTTAAATTTTTTTCAACTCGCAAAACTCGCAAATAGGGGGAGGCGAACAAAGTGCGCAAGTTGTGCTTAAATTAAGCCAGCAGACAGAGAGCCATAAAACATATTTATTTAAATATGTGCTGCTTGTTTAATGTACTCTTTTTTTATTTTATAATTTATCCAAACTGTGCAGCTAAGAGTCTGTCATCTTTCATCCCTCATTGGCTAACAATAAACGCTTATCGCCAACTAAGCAACAACAACAACAAAGAGAAAAAAAACCGCAACTGGGTTGCGATAAGATGACACTTGTCAAGTCACGTAGCTAGCAGCGTCTGCCAAAACCCCACCAGGAAGTGGCCAGCAATTAAAACCAGCTCAAAAAAAGAGGCGAAAAAAATCGACGAGTAACGGAAATGCCACAAGCAAACAACTCTGGAGACATGCCTATATTTGATCATAAGTATTGCCGTGCTGCGACTGCGTCTCTTCCTTATCTCCCACACACACATACACACACACACACACACATACAGTAGACCTGCCTGACTGTTAAGCATTAACAGAGCACGTTCTGTTAACATTGTGTCATGTAATTTTTTTGCACATTGATGGAAACCTTTTTCGAGCGCATTAAATAAATAAAAATGTATTCTTGATCAGCATCACGAGTTATCTCTTAGTCTTTCCCCCTCTTTCTAAGCTGCGCAGTTTCGTTATCTTATCATAGATTGACATATATCCGCCGAATTAATCATTTATCTTTATATTATATAGCTAACATAGAAAAACTCGATCGAAAGATGAGTTCCTCAATCGATTATTTTCACACAGCTACTATAACGAAACTCAACAGTTATGCTTCAAATTATTGTCCCAACAAATGACACAGAAAACATCGAAATTGGCGCCCTATATCATATAGCTACCATAGAAAAAATAGGTCGGGTTCCCGTATGAAACACTTTTTTATACCAAGCTATCTAAACCAAATTCTACTGCAGTTATGCGTATTATTATGCTTCTAACATATGGATCATTAATTATAGTAATTGGTTTACTATATCATATAACTATCGTAGATAGTTTGAGAGATCTTTTCTATTAACCAAGTTATCCCAAACAAACTTACCTAAAATGCGTCAATATGCTCCTAAAATTTGGACAAACCCACAATCTTAAGCGTTTTCCTGAGAATAATATGTTTGTTTTTGAAATTTATAGAGTTCCGGTCTACAAGGTCTCTAAAGATAGCCTTACTTGGAAATAGTTTATATGCTATAAACATTTACAGTGCTCGTCTTAAAGTTGAAACAAACATATCCATTTCTCAATTCTTGAAGTGTTGAAGTACTTCAGATAGTGCTCACTTTAGAGGGACCACTGTACTTATTAAATTATCAAAAGGCATAACAATAAAGATTATAAAATTCAGTAGTATAAACTATTCTTTGTTCATTTATATATTTATAAATATGAATAAGAATTGTTTCTGCTTAATGGCATTAAAAGTTGTGCAAAACTTGTAGACAAAGTAAATTAATAGGAATAATGTTGATTATTGATTTGGAGTGGTAAATATGGAACAAATGTAGTTAGATAATTGGTTTGGCTTAATAAATTCGTAATATCCGTTAAATGGAGTCTTTCAAATCCGATTTATCTCTGCTCAAGGTGACCTTTACAATCAACCTTCACAATTGGCTGCAAGTCCAAATAAAACGACTGCCAAATCTTGCTAATCATAATTAAAACCAATGAGAAAGAAAGTTAAATTAGCACAGACAAATGCAATTATCTAAGCCATTATCAAAATCGACAAAAAGAAAACTCGTTTGGCAATTTATTTAGAATTAGAAACAGGAACAGATAGAGAAACCGATCCACAGACACGTCTACATTATAGATCAATGTTCAATTTGACGCGTCACGGTGATTGTTAATATTTATCGCATTTTTAACGGCTATTACTTAATGTGCTTCGAATATCTTTGGCCTCTGATTAACTACCAATAATTAGAACTTAATACTGGGCGAGGAAGTCGCGAATTAAATCACAATTATCAAAATTGCAACACACAGCAGAGAGAGGATCAATAAGGAGTATTATACACTCATATACCCTGTGTGAAAAAGTATGAAAAAGTAAAAGCAAAGACCGAAGAGCATCTACAAGTAATTGTATTCTATTTAAATATACCCTAAAACGATTTTGCAAAAATATATAACAGGCAGTAGAAAGCATATTCTTCGACTTCATCAGCAATATACATATATATTCTTGATCAGCATCAATTGCAGCTACGTCGTTTAAGCCAAGTCGATCTCAGAAGCGATTCGAGTTGAACACTTTAAAGTTGAAATTAAAATCTCTCTTTTACTTTACATAGATGAATTTTGTTGAATTTTATCGATAGCTGCAACAAGGTGGCTTATATCGATACTAATCGATTTCCGATAGCAATAAGAGACACAATTCCAAAGAAAGTTCTTTCTGGTTTTAAGCATTAAAAAACTAAACTTTGTTCATATTGAACAAATAACAATTAGATATTTAGAACTGGATTCAGGCGAGCTCTCTCGACTGGAGCAATCTAATTGTTAACATAAAACCAGAGACAATTACAGTTAGCATTAATAAAGATGATTTTTTCTTTAGTGCTCCCAACGAGAACTTTATTAAAGTTGTCTTTGTTTCTCTCCAAAAAGATGAAAAGGATTTTATCTTTAGTTCTCTCTCTGGATTTAAGGTAACAAATGAGAATAATTAAAGGAATCTTCATATCTTTGGTTCAATCTCAATTAAATTCGCTTGAACACTCTTATCCTGACAGTGATCTGATCTTCAGCTGTTCTCACATTATTATTATATTATTTATTTATTTTATTTTTGTTGTTGTTTTGCAAGCTGCAAATGTTATTTAGACAGTTCCGTGTTGCATGTTCATGTTACACACTTTTGCCTGTCGCTGGTCCTTGAACTTTGCATTGTTGTTGTTGTTGGCTTGTGGCAATGCCTCGCTTTTGTTGTTAATTATTACAAAAACAATTAAGCGCTCGAAATGAACAACTTCAAATTGCAATCGTTTAACTGTTGTTGTCGTTGTTGTTGTTGCCTTTTGCTGTTATTATTTTTTCGTATGCTTTATTT